GCTGCTCTTTGCTGATGATACTGTGCTCTTGGGAGATTCTGAAGAGAAGTTGCAGAGATTGGTGGATGAATTTGGTAGGGTGTGCAAAAGAAGAAAATTAAAGGTGAATACAGGAAAGAGAAAGGGTTTATGAGGATAACAAAAAGATTAGGTGATGAAAGATTGAATATCAGATTGGAGGGAGAGAGTATGGAGGAGGTGAACGTATTCAGATTATTTGGAGTGGACGTGCCCGGGGAGGGGTCTATGAAAGATGAGGTGAATCATAGAATTGATGAGGAAAAAGAGTGAGTGGTGCACTTAGGAGTCTGTGGAGACAAGAACTTTTTCCTTGGAGGCAAAGAGGGGAATGTATGAGAGTAAAAGTTTTACCAACGCTCTTATATGGGGTGAAGCGTGGGGGATGAATGTTGCAGCGAGGAGAAGGCTGGAGGGAGTGGAGATGTCATGTCTGAGGGCAATGTGTGGTGTGAATAAATGCAGAGAATTCGTAGTTTGGAAGTTAGGGGGAGGTGCGGGATTACCAAAACTTTGTCCAGAGGGCTGAGGAAGGGTTGTTGAGGTGGTTCGGACATGTAGAAGAATGGAGCGAAACAGAATGACTTCAAGAGTGTATCAGTCTGTAGTGGAAGGAAGGCGGGGTAGGGGTCGGCCTAGGAAGGGTTGGAGGGAGGGGGGGAAAGGAGGTTTTGTTTTGCGAGGGGCTTGGACTTCCAGCAGGCATGCTGAGCGTGTTTGATAGGAGTGAATGGAGACAAATGGTTTTTAATACTACTGCTGTTGGAGTGTGAGCAAAGTAACATTTATGAAGGGATTCAGGGAAACCGGCAGGCCGGACTTGAGTCCTGGAGATGGGAAGTACAGTGCCTGCACTCTGAAGGAGGGGTGTTAATGTTGCAGTTTAAAAACTGTAGTGTAAAGCACCCTTCTGGCAAGACAGTGTGGAGTGAATGATGGTGAAAGTTTTTCTTTTCGGGCCACCCTGCCTTGGTGGGAATCGGCCGGTGTGATAATAAATAATAAAAAATATTTATCAAATGATGTGGCTCCACATTTTCACTATCCTTAAATTTTAACCACCGCCAGATGACTGTGAAACAAAAACCTGTAACTGTTTTGCATGATGGTAGGATTGCTGGTTTCTTTTTCTGTCTCATAAACACGCAAATAACAGGGATATCTTGCTACTCCTACTTACACTTTGGTCACACTTCACAGACACGCACATGCATATATATATATACATACATCTAGGTTTTTCTCCTTTTTCTAAATAGCTCTTGTTCTTTTTTATTTCTTCTATTGTCCATGGGGAAGTGGAAAAGAATCTTTCCTCCGTAAGCCATGCGTGTCGTATGAGGGGACTAAAATGCCGGGGGCAATGGGCTAGTAACCCCTTCTCCTGTATACAATTACTAAAAAAGAGAAGAAGAAAAACCCTTTTTAAAACTGGGTTTCTTAAATGTGCGTGGATGTAGTGCGGATGACAAGAAACAGATGATTGCTGATGTTATGAATGAAAAGAAGTTGGATGTCCCCGGCCCTAAGCGAAACAAAGCTGAAGGGGGTAGGAGAGTTTCAGTGGGGGAAATAAATGGGATTAAATGGAGTATCTGAGAGAGTTAGAGCAAAGGAAGGGGTAGCAGTAATGTTAAATGATCAGTTATGGAAGGAGAAAAGAGAATATGAAAGGTGTAAATCAAGAATTATGTGGATTAAAGTAAAGGTTGGATGCGAGAATGGGTCATAATAAGCGTGTAAAGCAACCTGGAGAAGAGAGGAATGCAGAGGAGAGAGAGAGATTTTGGAGATGTTAAGTGAATGTATAGGAGCCTTTGAACCAAGTGAGAGAGTAATTGTGGGGAGGGACTTGAATGCTAAAGTAGGGGAAACTTTTAGAGAGGGTGTGGGTAGGGAAGTTTGGGTGCCAGGTGTAAAAAGATAATGGGAGCCCTTTGATTTAACTTTGTATAGAAAGGGGTTTAGTTATAGGTAATAAAATATTTTAAGAAAAAAGGATAAAATAAGTATACACATATATGTAGGGCGAAATGACAGAGTTTGTTGGATTATGTATTGTAGATAAAAGACTGTTGAGTAGACTTCAGGGTGTACATGTTTATAAAAGGGCCACAGATATATACAATCACTTTCTAGTTTAGCTACACTGAGAGTAAAAAGGGAGATGGGATACAAGGAGAATAGAAGCATCAGGGAAGAGAGAGGTGAAGGTTTATAAACTAAAAGAGGAGGGAGTTAAAGGGGAAGATATAAACAGCTATTGGAGGGTAGATGGGCTAATGAGAGCATAGGCATGGGGTCGAAGAGGTATGGGGTAGGTTTAAAAATGAGTGTTAGAGTGTTCAGCAGAAGTTTGGTTACAGGAAAGTGGGTGCAGGAGGGAAGAGGAGCGATTGGTGGAATGATGATGTAAAGAGAGAATAAGGGAGAAAAAGTTAGCATATGAGAAGTTTTTACAAAGTAGAAGTGATGCAAGGAGGGAAGAGTATATGGAGAAAAAGAGAGAAGTTTAAGAGAGTGGTGAAGCAAGTAAAAAGAGAGCAAATGAGAGAGTGGGTGAGATGTTATCAACAAATTTTGTTGAAAATAAGAAAAAGTTTTGGAGTGAGATTAACAAGTTAAGAAAGCCAGAGAACAAATGGATTTGTCAGTTAAAAATAGGAGAGGAGAGTTATTAAATGGAGAGGGAGAGGTATTGGGAAGATGGAAGGAAATTTTGAGGAATTGTTAAATGTTGATGAAGATAAGGGAAGCTGTGATTTCGTGTATAGGGCAAGGAGGAAAACATCTTTTAGGAGTGAGGAAGAGCCCGTTGTGAGTGTGGGGGAAGTTCGTGAGGCAGTAGGTAAAATGAAAGGGTAAGGCAGCCGGGATTGATGGATAAAGATAGAAATGTTAAAAGCAGGTGGGATATAGTTTTTGGAGTGGTTGGTGCAATTATTTAATAAATGTATGGAAGAGGGGAAGGTACCTAGGGATTGGCAGAGAGCATGCATAGTTCCTTTGTATAAAGGCAAAGGGGATAAAAGAGAGTGCAAAAATTATAGGGGATAAGTTCTGTTGAGTGTACCTGGTAAAGTGTATGGTAAGTTATAATTGAAAGAATTAAGAGTAAGACGGAGAATAGGATAGCAGATGAACAAGGAGGCTTTAGGAAAGGTAGGGGGTGTGTGGACCAGGTGTTTTACAGTGAAACATATAAGTGAACAGTATTTAGATAAGGCTAAAGAGGTCTTTGTGGCATTTATGGATTTGGAAAAGGCGTATGACAGGGTGGATAGGGGGGCAATGTGGCAGATGTTGCAAGTGTATGGTGTAGGAGGTAGGTTACTGAAAGCAGTGAAGAGTTTTTACGAGGATAGTGAGGCTCAAGTTAGAGTATGTAGGAAAGAGGGAAATTTTTTCCCAGTAAAAGTAGGCCTTAGACAAGGATGTGTGATGTCACCGTGGTTTGTTTAATATATTTATAGATGGGGTTGTAAGAGAAGTAAATGCGAGGGTCTTGGCAAGAGGCGTGGAGTTAAAAGATAAAGAATCACACACAAAGTGGGAGTTGTCACAGCTGCTCTTTGCCGATGACACTGTGCTCTTGGGAGATTCTGAAGAGAAGTTGCAGAGATTGGTGGATGAATTTGGTAGGGTGTGCAAAAGAAGAAAATTAAAGGTGAATACAGGAAAGAGTAAGGTTATGAGGATAACAAAAAGATTAGGTGATGAAAGATTGAATATCAGATTGGAGGGAGAGAGTATGGAGGAGGTGAACGTATTCAGATATTTGGGAGTGGACGTGTCAGCGGATGGGTCTATGAAAGATGAGGTGAATCATAGAATTGATGAGGGAAAAAGAGTGAGTGGTGCACTTAGGAGTCTGTGGAGACAAAGAACTTTGTCCTTGGAGGCAAAGAGGGGAATGTATGAGAGTATAGTTTTACCAACGCTCTTATATGGGTGTGAAGCGTGGGTGATGAATGTTGCAGCGAGGAGAAGGCTGGAGGCAGTGGAGATGTCATGTCTGAGGGCAATGGTGTGGTGTGAATATAATGCAGAGAATTCGTAGTTTGGAAGTTAGGAGGAGGTGCGGGATTACCAAAACTGTTGTCCAGAGGGCTGAGGAAGGGTTGTTGAGGTGTTCGGACATGTAGAGAGAATGGAGCGAAACAGAATGACTTCAAGAGTGTATCAGTCTGTAGTGGAAGGAAGGCGGGGTAGGGGTCGGCCTAGGAAGGGTTGGAGGGAGGGGTAAAGGAGGTTTTGTGTGCGAGGGGCTTGGACTTCCAGCAGCATGCGTGAGCGTGTTTGATAGGAGTGAATGGAGACAAATGGTTTTTAATACTTGACGTGCTGTTGGAGTGTGAGCAAAGTAACATTTATGAAGGGATTCAGGGAAACCGGCAGGCCGGACTTGAGTCCTGGAGATGGGAAGTACAGTGCCTGCACTCTGAAGGAGGGGTGTTAATGTTGCAGTTTAAAAACTGTAGTGTAAAGCACCCTTCTGGCAAGACAGTGATGGAGTGAATGATGGTGAAAGTTTTTCTTTTTCGGGCCACCCTGCCTTGGTGGGAATCGGCCGGTGTGATAATAAAAAAAAAATATTTTTTTTAACACTGCATTTTTGTCACTTGCATGTTACACTTTCCTCTTTCCCCTAGTCCTCATTTCTTCCATGTCTTTCCTTTTCTATTCTATCCTCAGAAGCGTTCTGTATATTGTGATCATTTCTTCCAGGGTCCCAGAGATCTTGTTCCTAATCTTTCTTTGCAGCAATGCATTGTGTAAACCTTTCAACTCTCTCAAGCTACTTTTCCTAATACACTGTTTTTGGCTCGGTGAGTTTCACAGTAGTTCTGCCTCTTCTATGATTGGTATGTGGCATATAAAATGTTTTGAAAATCATTTGTTCAGGATCCTAAAGGGTGTTCATACCTCTGTTAGCTTTGTGCTTGTCACTGACCATATTCTGTTTGGTTTTTGGATAAAGATTGGGCATGATAAATGCACCCTCCCCATCGGTGCATGCTGCATTTACATAGTTTCTTACTGTACATTCATACTTACAGTAGATAAATAATAATAGAATCAATCTAAGCACTAAACCCAAAAGGTTCTTCAGGAGTGGAGTTATGCCCATGGTATTATATGTTGTATATATTTTGGTAGAATTACTGACAATATGTAAAGTAAAAGGACACAAATGCAACTAATGTAACATTTTATTGTGGAAACATTTCGCTCTCCAGGAGCTTTGTCAAGCCGTTATGACTTGACAAAGCTCCTGGAGAGCAAAACGTTGCCACATTGAAATGTAACATTAGTGGCACTTGTGTCCTTTTACTTTATGTATTATATGCTCTTTAACTCATTTAGCATCTTGTTTGAAAAGTAAGTTCAAGTAGTTGTAGCACACACTGTATGCATGCATACATTTTTATGTATATTCCTTAATGTTAGTTATACATCGTTCAAAAATTAACACACTAAAAAAATACCTGGGTTAAAATTTTGTTCACAGAACATTAAAAAACAATCACACCAAATTTATTTGATTAAACATTTATAACAGTGCAGCCATAGGATGATTAACTTTTGAAGTATAAGCCCCTAGCATTACAGTAGTAGGATCCTCCAAAAGATGTTTCACTATATTTAAGAAGGTAGCAGCAGTGTCATCGTCAACACCAGCACGGTCATATGACAGGGTAGCACTCATGCACATCACCGGTGCACCAGAGTCACCTGAAACAAAAAGGGTAATTAATCACACAATCGATTTACTGAAATATATTCTTCATGGTAAACTAGTTCACCTACAAAACATACACATAATCATGATCCAAATTTTTGTAAAATAAATATGAGCAATGACACTTGCACATCTGTCCAATCTTTTGATCCATAAACTCAATATACTGTATAGTACATATATGCAAATGTAAGTGTATATACTAGGATTTACACATGCACTTGGATCTTATACCATAAAGTACAGGAACTTAAATCCAAGCATATACAAGCACCAGAATGGTGTGTGAAACAAAGTAGAAAAGGGGTGAAGAATAGGGTAGGGGGAGAAAGAGGTACATATATGAAAGTGGAGAGTGAGAATGGGGAGGGAGTTAAAAGGAAAAGAAGCTGAAAGAATACTGCAAAAAGGAAATGATATAGGGAAAAAACAAGGAATTTGAAAGGGGAGGAAGGAGTGAGAAAAAAAGCAATAGAGAGAACCGAGTAGAAAGAGAATAGAAAATATGGAAAAAGGTGGGAGGGAAAGAAAAAAATAAGTCAGGAGACAGAGAAATTGAGGAACTATTAAGAAAAATGCAGAAAGGTAAAGCTGAGGTTATAATGAATGTAAGTTGGAGTACATAAAATTTACCAGCTATGTTTATGTTCAAGAGATAGAGAGAAAAATCAGTAATACTGACAGTACAAAATGCTGATGAATTCTTTTTCTGCTCATATGGCAGGATGTTGTAAGAGGCGACTAAAATGCTGGGAGCAAGGGGCTAGTAACCCCTTCTGAATATATTACTAAAGTTAAAAAGAGAAACTTGTTTTTCTTTTTGGGCCACCCTGCCTGGGTGGGATACGGCCGGAGCAGTGAAAGAAAGATTGCAGGATGGTAGTACCACACATCCCTGGGTAGCTGCTGTATAACAATCTTGTTTGAAACTACATAAACTGACCACAGAATTCACTAAATTCTATCCAAAAGAAGGAAGACAGTAGAAAAACTATAATCACATTCTGATGTGAAAGAAAGAATGCCAATTTATTTTTAAAAGAAGTAGGTAACATTACTTTCAAAAATGCCAGGAATAAAGAAAGTAAAATACAGGGTGGGTAGAACACTTCAGCAACCAGAGAGGTATGAGAAAGGTTTTGATTGCAGTGCCTTATGTCTTAATTTTTTTTTTTGTATTATTAACACATCGGCCAATTCCCACCAAGGCAGGGTGGCCTGAAAAAGAAAAACTTTCATCATCATTCACTCCATCACTGTCTTGCCAAAGGGGTGCTTTACACTACAGTTATAAAACTGTAACAGTAACACCCCTCCTTCAGAGTGCAGACACTGTACTTCCCATCTCCAGGACTCAAGTCCAGCCTGCCGATTTCACTCACTCTCTTCATAAATGTTACTTTGCTCACACTCCAACAGCACGTCAAGTATTAAAAACCATTTGTCTCCATTCACTCCTATCAAATATGCTCACACATGCTTGCTGGAAGTCCAAGCTCCTCACACACAAAACCACATTTACCCCCCTCCCACCAACCTTTCTTCAGCCGACCCCTACCCCACCTTCCCTCCACTACAGATTTATACACTCTCGAAGTCATTCTGTTTCGTTCCATTCTCTCTACATGTCTGAACCACCTCAGCAACCCCTCCTCAGCTCTCTGGATAATAGTTTTGGTAATCCCACACCTCCTCCTAATTTCCAAACTACGAATTCTCTGCGTTATATTCACACCACACATTGGCCTCAGACATGACATCTCCACTGCCTACAGCCTTATCCTTGTTGCAACATTCACTACCCATGCTTTACAGCCATATAAGAGTGTTGGTCAGTCGGAGTGGTCAGTGGTCAGTCGTCAGTGGTCAGTGGTCAGTCGTCACGTGAGGTCACAGACCCTGAGCTGCTTTGGGGATTAGCGTGGACGGTTACAAAGCATGGCTTGCTTCTGCAGTGTTTTAAAAACTGAGGTTGGAGAGTTGAAGGAGGAGGTCTTGCTTCTCCAGGAGGAGATTAGGAGGCTGAAGGTCCACCTCAATGGGTCTGGGAGAGAGTGTGAGGTGGCTGGAGTTGTGGGGAATGAGACTTCTAGCAGTGAGGTGCAGTCTGTCTCTCGCTGTGAGGAGGCTGTAGTTGGGGAGGTAGCAACAGCTACCAGCAGTGAGGTGCAGCCCAGCACCTGCTGCAAGTGGCGAGTTGTTCACAGTAATGGGAGGCGCATCAGAGTAAGGAAAGTTAAGAGTGAAGATCTGAAGGTAGGAAATCGCTTCTCTGTTCTCCAGGATGAATGTACTTCAGTGGCCAGTGAAGGTAAGGGTACTACTGCCCCTGCTAATGAAGGTAAGCGCATTCTTGTGGTTGGGGACTCTCAGGTAAGATATATTGACCGTGCTTTTTGTAATAGGAATAAGAAGATGAGAGATAGAGTGTGCTTCCCTGGAGCTGGTGTTGGGGACATTGTCAACAGGCTGGATAATATCATGTCAGGTAATGGGAACAAGCCCATTATCTGTCTCAGTGCTGGTGGAAATGATATTGGGAAGGGTAGGAGAGAAGAGCTGCTAGATAAGTACAGGTCAGCTATAGATTTCATTAAGTCTAAGGGAGGGATCCCAATCATATGTAGCATCTTGCCTAGAAGGGGAGTAGGAAATGAATGGTTGTCTAGGGCAATTGGTGTAAATTGCTGGCTAGACAGATACTGCAAGGAACTTGCAATCCCATTCATTGACAACTGGAACAACTTTTATGGCAAACATGATATGTATGCAAGGGATGGGGTACATCTCTCTGGGGCAGGGGTGGTAGCACTTGCAGACTCGATTGAGAAGGCCATTGGTGAAATGCCTATGATTTTAAACTGATGGAAGATAGAGGTATGGGTGTGTGTGGGAAACAAGCAGGTTGCAACACTAGGGTTGGAAACAGTAAATGTATAAAAGGCATTCAGCATGAAGTTATAAATAAAGACAATAGAACAGGTCAGCTAACAAAGGGGGGCAGCAGAGGGCAGCAAGGGACTAGCTCCCTTAGGTTTACTATACTAATAGCAGGAGTGTTAGAAATAAGATAGATGAGCTAAGATTAATTGCAAGTGCAGGAAACATAGATATTATTGCTATAACAGAGACCTGGCTCAATCTGAAAGATAGAGAGATGCCCTCTGAATGCCCACATACAAGGCTATAAATTATTCCACACTGACAGGGTCAACAGGAAAGGTGGTGGAGTAGCGATGTATGTCAGAGACAATTTAAAATTGTTGTGTAAGACAAGATATTAAATTAGAAGCGTCAGCCACTGAATCTGTTTGGTTACAGCTTCCTCGAGGGCCGAGAAAAACTAATTTTGGGTGTGATTTACAGGGCCCCAAATTTTGATAGGGAGTGCAGTAACTTCTATGGGACGAAAAATTTCGTAAGGCATCTACATACAAAAAAGTTTTTGCTAATGGGAGATTTCAACTATAGACGATTGACTGGAGAAATTTTGACGGGAAAATTTAGAGCGGGTGACTTTCTTGATACGATCCAGGATTGTTTTTTAAAAATTTGTGACAGAGCCAACTAGGGGAAAAAAACCTCCTTGACTTGGTTCTTGCCAGTAGGGAAACACTAATTAATAATCTTGAGTTAATGATGAGCTTGGGGAGAGTGATCACAAATCACTCATTTTAATATATTATGGAATTCCCCTAATAAGGGCAATCAAGTCTCCGTCCCTGACTTTCGCTTGGCTGATTTCATAGGACTGAAAAATTACTTAGGTGGGCTGAACTGGAATGCCCTGACTAAGGTCAGGTAGGTGGTGATGGTTGCCGATATGATGCTTTCCAGGGCATAGTTCTAGCTGCCAGTCAAATTATGTTCCAAATAGGGAAATCAATCAAACAAAAATGATCCTAAAAGGATAACAATAGATTAAAATATCTGATTGGTCAAAAGAGAGGCATATATAGGCAAATCAAAAGAGGAGAGGGCCAATTAGAAATCGATATATTCAGTTAAAGAGAGAAATAAAAAAGGGAATTAGAAAAGCGAAAAGAGATTATGAGGTTAAAGTTGCAAGAGAATCGAAGACTAACCCAAAAGGATTCTTTCAGGTATACAGAAGTAAGATCAGGGGCAAGATAGGCCCACTCAAAAGTTCCTCGGGTCAGCTCACTGACAGTGATAAGGGAAATGTGTAAATTTTTAACACATACTTCCCTCTCAGTTTTTACACAGGGGGATACCAGCGATATACCAGTAATGATAAATTATGTAGAACAGGACGATAATAAACGTGCACTATTAGGGTCACAAGTGACAGGGTCCTTAGGCAAATAGATAAATTGAAACCTAACAAATCCCCAGGCCCTGATGAACTGTATGCAAGGGTTCAAAAGGAATGTAAAGAGGAGCTTAGCACACCTTTGGCTAATCTTTTCAACATATCACAACAAACTGGCATGGTGCCAGATAAGTGGAAAATGCAAATGTGATACCTATTTTCAAAACGGGTGACAGGTCCTTAGCTTCGAACTATAGACCAATAAGCCTAACCTCCATAGTGGAAAATTTATGGAATCAATAATTGCCGAGGCAGTTCGTAGCCACCTTGAAAAGCAAAAATTAATCAACGAATCTCAGAAATGGTTTACAAAGGGGCGTTCCTGCCTTACGAATTTATTAACTTTTTCACTAAGGATTTGAGGAGGTAGATCATGGTAATGAATATGATATTGTTATATGGACTTCAGTAAGGCTTTTGACAGGGTCCCACATCAGAGACAAATTGGGGAAAAATTAAGCACATGGAATAGGAGGAGAAATTTTTTCCTGGATAGAGGCATGGTTGACAAATAGGCAGCAGAGAGTTTTGCATAAATGGGGAGAAATCAGAGTGGGGAAGCGTCACGAGCCGTGTTCCCACAGGGGTCAGTGTTGGGCCCCCTGCTGTCACAATCTACATAAACACATAGATGAGGCATAAAGAGCGACATCGGCAATTTGCCGATGACACCAAAATAGGCCGTCGAATTCATTCTGACGAGACATTCGAGCACTCCAGGAAGATTTGAATAGATTGATGCAGTGGTCGGAGAAGTGGCAGATGCAGTTTAATATAGACAAATGCAAAGTTCTAAATGTTGGACAGGACAATAACCAATGCCACATATAAACAAATAATGTAGATCTTAAATTACGGTTTGGCGAAAAAGATTTAGGAGTTCTGTTAGCAGTAATCTGAAACCAAGAAAAACAGTGCATAAGTGTTCGCAATAAAGCTAATAGAATCCTTGGCTTCAATCAAGAAGCATAAAAAAAAGGAGTCCTCAGGTTGTTTTTCAACTCTATACATCCTTGGTTAGGCCTCATTTAGATTATGCTGCACAGTTTTGGTCACCGTATTACAGAATGGATATAAATTCTCGGGAAAATGTACAAAGGGGGATGACAAAATACCCAAATCAGAAACCCCTTTCCCCATGAGGATAGACTAAGGCCCTGAAACTGCACTCTCTAAAAGACGTAGAATTAGGGGGGGTATGATTGAGGTGTATAAATGGAAGACAGGAATAAATAAAGGGGATGTAAATAGTGTGCTGAAAATAAACTAGCCTAGACAGGACTCGCAAACAATGGTTTTAAGTTGGAAAAATTCAGATTCAGGAAGGATATAGGAAAGTACTGGTTTGGTAATAGAGTTGTGGATGATGGAACAAACTCCCAAGTACCGTTATAGAGGCCAGAACGTTGTGTAGCTTTAAAAATAGGTTGGATAAATACATGAGTAGATGTGGGTGGGTGTGAGTTAGACCTGATAGCTTGTGCTAACAGGTCGGTTGCCGTGTTCCTCCCTTAAGTCAATGTGACCTGACCTGACTAGGTTGGGTGCATTGGCTTAAGCCGGTAGGAGACTTGGACCTGCCTCGCGTGGGCCAGTAGGCCTTCTGCAGTGTTCCTTCGTTCTTATGTTCTTATGTTCTTATACTCTCATACATTCCCCTCTTTAATTCCACAGACAAAGTTCTTGTCTCCACAGACTCCTAAGTGCACCACTCCCCCTCATCAATTCTATGATTCACCTCATCCTTTATAGACCCATCTGCTGACATATCCACTCTTAAATAACTGAATACATTTATCTCCTCCATACTCTCTCCCTCCAATCTGATATCCAATCTTTCATCACCTAATCTTTTTGTTATCCTCATCACCTTACTCCTTCCTATATTTTTTAATTTTCTTCTTTTACATACCATACCAAATTCATCCACCAACCTCTTCAACTTGTCTTCAGAATTTCCTAAAAGCAGTGTCATCAGCAAAGAGCAACTGTGACAACTCCCACTTTATGTTAGATTCTTTATCTTTTAACCCCACACCTCTTGCCAAGACCCTCGCATTCACTTCCCTTACAACCTCATCTATAAATATATTGAACAACCATGGTGACATCACACATCCTTGTCTAAGGCCTACTTTTAATAAGAAATAATCTCCCTCTCTCCTACATACTCTAACCTGAGCCTCATTATCCTTGTAAAAATCTTCACTGCTTTCAGTGACCTACCTCCTATTTCATACACCTGCAACATCTGCCACATTGCCCCCCTATCCACCCTGTCATATGCCTTTTCCAAATATAATAACCAAAACATTCATGAGCTTACTTAGAGAGAGTCTGCTTCCACCAAGAGCAAGGATGCCACACTGAGGGGGGTTGATGATGGCACTGAACTCACTGATTCCAAACATTCCTAGATTTGAGATGCTACAGAGAAAAAAAAAATTATTATTTTTTAAAGAAAAGATTAAAAAATATGCAGTAACTGATGATTCCACATTACTTTGAGCTGTATCAAAATGCTGGAAAATATGACAAGTAATAAAGAACCATTTGCTAAAGGAACAGATATTACAGTGACTTTATTAGAGTTTTAGGCACACTGATAACAATAATGAAGAAATCATTCATTATACAGCAGTAAATTATGAAGTTTTATATTCATGATGGAACACTAAACCTGAAGAGGTCATACAGCCTTTGGGGAGTGAGAGGTAATCAGATTCAGTCTAAAGGAAAACAAGGGCATCTCCAATTCTTTGGACTCTGAACTCATCACCAAATTCAAGGCACGTCTTTTGAAGGGAGAAAATCATGCAGATGCATCTACAGTATGTGTGAACCTTTGATATACCTTTACCTTACCTTTGATGAGTTCTGAGTCTCTCTACTCTTGGAGCCCAGTCATGGGCCAAGCCTGTCTGGTAACTTGCCTGGTCAATCAGGCTGTTGCTGCTAGAGGCCTGCTGCCCTACAAATCCATCACAGCCTGGTTAATCTGGCACTTGGTGAAAATACTTGTCAAGTTTCCTCTTGAAGGCTTCTACACTTGTACAAGCTGTGTTTCTGATATCTTCTGGTAAGATGATGAAAAGTCCAGGGAAATGAATGTTGACACAGTGTTCCTTTATTGTGACCACCGCACCCCTGCTCTTCACTGGGTTTATTTTGCATTTCCTCCCGTATCTCACTCCAGTATGTTGTTATGGCAGGGTGCAGATTTAGGACCAGGCCCTCGAGTACTTTCCAGGTATATATTATCATGCCTCTCTCTCTCTCCTCTGCTCCAGTGAATACATGTTCAGGACTTTAAGGCATTCCCAGTAATTTAAGTGCTGGTGTACATACCCCTGGTTTCTCCAGTACTGTTTTTATAATTGATTGTATATTCAGCCCTGATGTGCTGATGCCTTACTTGGTATGTGAAGATAACTGTATTATCATTTAAGGAGAATTTAAATGTCTTAATCAGCAGAATGGAGGGAGGGAAGGAGGGCGGTACAGGAGGCTTGAGCATTCAGCAAACTTATGTGCACATGCATTAGATCAGAGTGGGCTGATGTTGGAGTGTGAGAAAAGTAATATTTATGAAGGGATTCAGAGAACTCAGTTAGCCAGAAGAATAGTGCCTGCACTCTGAGGAAAGGTGTGGGCATTGCAGTTCAGAGGGTCTTTGAATTGTGAAGTCAGCACATGTCCGGCAAGATAGTGATTGAATTTCCTTGTTTTGGGCCATCTATCTTGGTGGAAAATAGGCAATTAGATAAAAAATATGATCTGTATGTCCTCTACCAAAGTCACAGGTATTTTGACCTGGTTAAGCACCATTGAGGTTAAGAGGAGACAAGAAAACTGGAAAAAATATAAGCACTACACTTATAGTGCAGTACAGTATTATGAAGATTATCAGAGGAAAGAATGGGACAGTATCAGGTTGGTTACCTGATACAGTGGAACCTTGGCTTATGAGTGCCCCACCATACGAGTTTTTCAGGATACGAGCAGTCACTTGGTTGACTTTTTGTTTCTGGATACAAGCAAAAATTCAGGATGCGAGCTTCCCCCTCAAACAACTTGAGACATGGCAAATTTCATCAGAGTCTGATACTAGTGATTCTAAGGAGATGGAAGTAGACTATGAACCACCAACAAATGACGATCCCAAACCTTTCAACCAAGTTGAGCTCAATGACTTGGTGAGAGACCTTAACCTTCCGAAAGAAAGTGCACGGTTACTTGGCTCTAGAGTGAAGGAACACAGACTTCTAGCTCTTGGAAAAACATTCTCTTAGTACTGTCTTAGTGAAGTGGAATTCACTCAGTCCTTTGACAAAGAGGAATCTTTTGTTTGCTGTTCAAATATTTCTGGCCTTATTAAACACATGGGGATGTCATACAAAGCAGATGAATGGAGACTCTTCACTGATTCTTCTAAAAGAAGTTTTAGGCTGTACTTCTCTACAATGGCAATACAGATACATCTTTGCCAATTGGCCATGTTGTTCAAATGTCAGAAACTTACACAAATATGAAGACACTAATATCTGCAATCAAGTACCAGAATCACAATTTTCTCATCTGTGGTGATTTAAAAGTTATTGCTTTCCTACTAGGTCTTCAAGGCGGACACACTAAGTATCCCTGTTTTCTGTGTTTTTGGGATAGTAGGAAAGACAGCCAGCACTATGAACAAACAGACTGGCCACCAAGAACCAGCTTCTTACCTGGAAATCATAACATGAAAACTGTGCCATTAGTTGACCCCAAGAAAATTCTACTGCCACCACTCAACATCAAATTAGCGCTTATGAAAAATTTTGTGAATGCCTTGAACAAGAATGGAACTGCTTTCAAGTACCTGGAGTCAAAGTTTCCTCATATAAGTGAGGGCAAGTTAAAGGCAGGAATCTTTGTTGGCGCTCAGATTCGGGAATTCATGAAGGACAAGCATTTTGATAAACAATTAGCAGGTGTCGAGGTGAATGCCTGGTTTTCATTCAAGCAGATTGTCCACAACTTCATGGGAAACAGGCACTCCACCGAATATGAAAAAATGGCCCAATACCTGATTTTAGGGATTAGAATGAGTGTGAAGATGCACTTTTTGCACTCACATCTTTACTATTTTCCCAACAATTGTGGGGACTACAGTGAGGAACAAGGAGAGCAGTTTCATCAGGATATTTGCACCGTGGAAACTTGATACCATGGCAATTGGAATGTCAGCATGATGGTGGATTATTGCCGGTCACTGAAATGTAGTGGTCTCAATGAACAGCACAAGCGAAAAACAAAGTGGTCCTCCTTCCTTTCATTCAATATGAAGGCTAACCATTAGGAGCATATTTTATTTTTTTAATAAAATCATTTGATTTTATTCATGTTGATTTGGAATTCATATGTTCTTAAAACTAACAGAATGTGCTTTTCCATCATTATTTATCTAATTTTAATAAATTAATTATGTATTAAAAATTCACATTTTTTATTATCATTAATTTGTATTTTATTCAAAATCCTTTGTGATAGAGCAAAATAGTTTAGATATTTACAATCAGCAGCCCAAGAATATGTAAGATCGCAACCATGAATAAAAATAAAAATTAAAAACATTCCAAATGAAAACCAGTGTAATTTTTACCAAGAGCAATATTAAAAAAATATTCCTTTACTAACATTATCAAATTTACACTATCAATACATAAATCAAAATACAAGTATAAAACTCTTCATAATTATTCTCACATTCCCAATCCATGTTATCATACCACAAGTTTCAGCAAATTTACACCAAAGGCAAAATATCCCCCATCATTTATGCCATAAGAGATGCTGGATTCTTCATCAGGCAAGCCTCTGTGGGAAGAGTAGCATGCCTCCCAGAGAATAGGCCTCCCCCTACCCACAGACACAAACCACAAACCCCATCACCTTATTAAGGTGACCTAGCATCGGTGGGGATGCATTAATGGATATAGTTAAGCATTAATAATATGACTTACGTAAAAGTTCCCCCTTGGAATTCATCCAACTTTAACTTGTTTTCTCTGGCTCGACCAGCTAGGTCCCGTGCTCTTGTGGAAATATCTTCAACACCTAAAGCATCAGCTCCGTGAATTATTGGGGTTATGAGGCCGGCAGGTGTTGCTACTGCGATACTAATATCTATCTGATTAGAAATCATTAGCTGAAATAATAAAATCTAGGTTAATTATAAATTTTTTAGGACTTTAATGATGAATTCAAGAAATCTGTCAATACTAAGAAATTAATGTTCAACAGTCATACATCAATTTTCCTATTAAATATTATTATTTATGAAAGGAAGAAACACTAATTTAAAGAATACATACATATTTTCCATTTTATATTTATAATAAAACATGAAAAATATTAAGGTTTAAACTGCACTACTTAATGATTAAACTGCATCAATTATCTTTCAACATAATTTTCATTAATACAATAAAAAAATAACATTACCTGATCTCCCTTCCATACACAGTTCATCTCTGGACATCTGGTTAGTGCAACAGCAACAGCTTTGATGACTAGGTCATTCACACTTACATTGATGCCTTCCGCCTTGTACTGCTTTCTCAGCGCTACCAGTTTATCAACAACGCACTCAACCGTTGCATATGAGTGAGCAATACCACTCTGGAAAGAAATAAGCATCAAATTTGTAAATGAAATCATCATATTATTATACTGTACAATTACACAAGTTACTTGTATCCCAATCTTTTGCATCATAAAAAAAGAAAATGGATAGGCCAAATTCTATGTATCAAGTGTATTTGTCAGCTATTTCATGGAAGCCATGAGAAATAGCACTAGCTGGCAGAACTGGAAAAGGCTATATCTATGTAGAGTTACGTGCCTTTTTTTGTTTAATACACCAGCTGTCTCCCACCGAGGTTGGGGGCCACGAAAAAGAAGAAACACGCTAACTATCACTTATTCCATCATTGTCTTTCCAGAGGTGCACTAATACTAAAGTTTTAAGAGTCCCTACCACTCCTTCAGAGTGCAAGCACTGTACTTCTCACCTCCAGGACTCAAGTCTGGTTAACTGGTTTCCCTGAATTCCTTCATAAATGCTGCCTTGCTCATACTCTAACAGCACATCAAGTCATAAAGCCACTTGCGTCCACTCCTAACACACCTGTTGGATGTCCAAGCCCCTTGCATACTAAACCTCCTTTACCCTCGAGTAATGTCTTAGTGCACTACAGTATGTAATATTGTCTTCTGTGTGTGTATAATAACTCCAATGTAACAGTAATGTATCACTGACTCTGAAGAATAGCAGTGATAATTTCTCTTTATATTAACTAGGCATGTTAAAGCATTTTCCTGGTTCATTATTTCCTTATCTGTGATTTCTCTTTCTCCCTCACTTCTTTTTACCAAACAATACCCCTCTCCTCCATCCCGTGTATGTGGTCAGCCCTCACCTATTGATACATGTACCTGTTACATGTCCTCCCCACGACCGTCTAAGATCAGGCTTTCTCAGTTGAAAAGAAAATATTGCAGGTGTAAAAACCATAGACACAAAGAAAAGTAAAGATAAATAAGTAACAAAAAGGCACAATACCGTGACTGGAACAATACACAAATAACCCGCACATAGAAGAGAGGAGCTATCGAAGACGTTTCGGTCCGACTTGGACCATTTACAAAGTCACAGAGTGACTTTGTAAATGGTCCAAGTTGGACTGAAACGTCGTTGTTAGCTCCTCTCTTCTATGTGCGGGTTATTTGCGTAAAAGTAAAGATAAATGAATAGTGAATGTAAGACATTTGAAAAATTGTTTTCATAAGACATAGAACAATTCTTCTTCTTCTTGCAACAAACTGGCCATATCCTACCAGAGAGGGTGGCCCAAAAAAGAAAAACAAAAGTTTATCTTTTTAACTTTAGTAATGTATACAAGAGACGGGGTTACTAGCCCCTTGCTCCTGGCATTTTAGACGCCTCTTACGACATGCATGGGTTACGGAGGAAAAATTCTGTTCCACTTCCCAGTGGAGATAAGAGGAAATAAACAAGAATAAGAACTAGCAAGAAAATAGAGGAAAACTCGGAGGGGTGTTTGTATATATTTGCTTGTACATGCACGTGCAGTGTGAACTCAACATAAGTAGAAGTAGCAAGAAGTACCTGAAATCTTGCATGAAAACTAAAAATAGGCTCCACAAATAGACACTGGTAGACTGCATTGCCAAATTTAAAATTTAAGCTTCCTTTCATCAATATATGCAAATGTTGCAAGTTTTAACTAAGTGCTACAGACTTTTTAAAGTTACTGTTAACATCATGGGTAGAAAAAATTGTAATAGAGGTAGTATATATATCTAGTAAGACAATAACACCACAAACCTTTGACTGTACAAGCCTTTTGGCTATGGTTCTCCTCATGTTAGTTATTTCAGAGTCTTGATAACCATCTTCTGATGTACCAAGAACTGGTGGTGGGACAGGGACAGATGGTGGTGGTGGTGCAGCTGTAGGCATACCATGAGCAGCAGCAGCAGCAGAAGCAGGTTTAGGAGCCTCAGGAGGAGGAACTGGTGGGTGCACAAAAATATTTTGGTTTGTGAAAAGTTTTGCAGAGAGTTATATAGCAGTCACTGTGACAATCTCAGTCTGCTGCCATTTTATTTATTTTTATTAGCAGTCTACCGCCATATACAAACCTAAATGACTCTTGAGTGTATGTAGTGAAAAAGCTCTGGATGTATACAAAGAAAAACATACTGGATATATATACAAAGTACTAGTTTGAGCAAGAGAGAATAAAAGGGGAATGAAAAGAGATAGTATAGGTAGTAGGTTGGTAGACAGCAACCGCCCAGGGAGGTACTACCGTCCTGCCAAGTGAGTGTAAAACGGAAGCCTGTAATTGTTTTACACGATGGTAGGATTGCAGGTGTCTTTTTTTCTGTCTCATACACATGCAAGATTTCAGGTACGTCTTGCTACTTCTACTTACACTTAGGTCATGCTACACATACATGTACAAGCATATTCCAGGACTCAAGTCCGGATATATAAAATAACTGGTTTCCCTGAATCCCTTCACTAAATATTAAATTGCTCACACTCCAACAGCTCGTCAGGTCCCAAATACCATCTGTCTCCATTCACTCCTTTCTAACACACTCACGCACACTTGCTGAAAGTCCAAGCCCCTCGTCCACAAAACCTCCTTTACCCCCTCCCTCCAACCCATTCGAGGATGACCCCTACCCCGCCTTCCTTCCCCTACAGATTTATACGCTCTCCATGTCATTCTACTTTGATCCATTCTCTCTAAATGACCAAACCACCTCAACAACCCCTCTTCAGCCCTTCTCCTAATTTCCACACTTAAAATTTTCTGCATAATATTTACACCACACATTGCCCTTAGACAGGACATCTCCACTGCCTCCTCGCTGCAGCATTTAAAACCCAAGCGTCACACTCATGTAAGAGTGTTGGTACCACTATACTTTCATACATTCCCTTCTTTGCCTCCATAGATAACATTCTTTGTCTCCACATATACCTCAACGCACCACTCGCCTTTTTTCCCTCATCAGTTCTATGATTAACCTCATCCTTCATAAATCCATCTGCTTATACGTCAACTCCCAAATATCTGAAAACATTCACTTCTTCCATGCTCCTCCTCCCCAATTTGATATCCAATTTTTCTTTATCAAAATCATTTGATACTCTCATCACCTTACTCTTTTCTATGTTCACTTTCAACTTTCTACCTTTACACACACTCCCAAATTCGTCCACTAACCTCTGCAATTTTTCTTTAGAATCACCCATAGGCACAGTATCATCAGCAAAAAGTAACTGTGTCACTTCCCATTTTGCATTTGATTCCCCATAATTTAATCCCACCCCTCTCCCCAACACCCTAGCATTTACTTCTTTTACAACCCCACCTATAAATATATTAAACAACCATGGTGACATTACACATCCCTGTTTAAGACCTACTTTTACTGAGAAGTAGTCTCCCTCTCTTCTACACACTCGAATCTGAGCCTCACTGTCCTCATAAAAACTCTTTACAGCATTTAGTAACTTACTACCTATTCCATATACTTGCAACATCTGCCACATTGCTCCCCTATCCACTCTATCATATGCCTTTTCTAAATCCATAAATGCAATAAAAACTTCCATACCTTTATCTAAATAATTATAAAGCATATGAGAAGTTTTTACAAAGTAGAAGTGATGCAAGGAGGGAAGAGTATATGGAGAAAAAGAGAGAGGTTAAGAAAGTGGTGAAGCAATGTAAAAAGAGAGCAAATGAGAGAGTGGGTGAGATGTTATCAACAAATTTTGTTGAAAATAAGAAAAAGTTTTGGAGTGAGATTAACAAGTTAAGAAAGCCTACAGAACAAATGGATTTGTCAGTTAAAAATACGAGAGGAGAGTTATTAAATGGAGAGTTAGAGGTATTGGGAAGATGGAGGGAATATTTTGGGGAATTGTTAAATGTTGATGAAGATAGGGAAGCTGTGATTTCGTGTATAGGACAAGGAGGAATAACATCTTGTAGGAGTGAGGAAGAGCCAGTTGTGAGTGTGGGGGAAGTTCGTGAGGCAGTAGGTAAAATGAAAGGGGGTAAGGCAGCCGGGATTGATGGGATAAAGATAGAAATGTTAAAAGCAGGTGGGGATATAGTTTTGGAGTGGTTGGGGCAATTATTTAATAAATGTATGGAAGAGGGTAAGGTACCTAGGGATTGGCAGAGAGCATGCATAGTTCCTTTGTATAAAGGCAAAGGGGATAAAAGAGAGTGCAAAAATTATAGGGGGATAAGTCTGCTGAGTATACCTGGTAAAGTGTATGGTAGAGTTATTATTAAAAGAATTAAGAGTAAGACGGAGAATAGGATAGCAGATGAACAAGGAGGCTTCAGGAAAGGTAGGGGGTGTGTGGACCAGGTGTTTACAGTGAAACATATAAGTGAACAGTATTTAGATAAGGCTAAAGAGGTCTTTGTGGCATTTATGGATTTGGAAAAGGCATATGACAGGGTGGATAGGGGGGCAATGTGGCAGATGTTGCAAGTGTATGGTGTAGGAGGTAGGTTACTGAAAGCAGTGAAGAGTTTTTACGAGGATAGTGAGGCTCAAGTTAGAGTATGTAGGAAAGAGGGAAATTATTTCACAGTAAAAGTAGGCCTTAGACAAGGATGTGTGATGTCACCGTGGTTGTTTAATATATTTATAGATGGGGTTGTAAGAGAAGTAAATGCGAGGGTCTTGGCAAGAGGCGTGGAGTTAAAAGATAAAGAATCACACACAAAGTGGGAGTTGTCACAGCTGCTCTTTGCTGATGACACTGTGCTCTTGGGAGATTCTGAAGAGAAGTTGCAGAGATTGGTGGATGAATTTGGTAGGGTGTGCAAAAGAAGAAAATTAAAGGTGAATACAGGAAAGAGTAAGGTTATGAGGATAACAAAAAGATTAGGTGATGAAAGATTGAATATCAGATTGGAGGGAGAGAGTATGGAGGAGGTGAATGTATTCAGATATTTGGGAGTGGACGTGTCAGCGGATGGGTCTATGAAAGATGAGGTGACTCATAGAAATGATGAGGGGAAAAGAGTGAGTGGTGCACTTAGGAGTCTGTGGAGACAAAGAACTTTGTCCTTGGAGGCAAAGAGGGGAATGTATGAGAGTATAGTTTTACCAACGCTCTTATATGGGTGTGAAGCATGGGTGATGAATGTTGCAGCGAGGAGAAGGCCAGAGGCAGTGGAGATGTCATGTCTGAGAGCAATGTGTGGTGTGAATATAATGCAGAGAATTCGTAGTTTGGAAGTTAGGAGGAGGTGCGGGATTACCAAAACTGTTGTCCAGAGGGCTGAGGAAGGGTTGTTGAGGTGGTTCGGACATGTAGAGAGAATGGAGCGAAACAGAATGACTTCAAGAGTGTATCAGTCTGTAGTGGAAGGAAGGCGGGGTAGGGGTCGGCCTAGGAAAGGTTGGAGAGAGGGGGTAAAGGAGGTTTTGTGTGCGAGGGGCTTGGACTTCCAGCAGGCATGCGTGAACGTGTTTGATAGGAATGAATGGAGACAAATGGTTTTTAATACTTGACATGCTGTTGGAGTGTGAGCAAAGTAACATTTATGAAGGAGTTCAGGGAAACCGGCAGGCCAGACTTGAGTCCTGGAGATGGGAAGTACAGTGCCTGCACTCTGAAGGAGGGGTGTTGATGTTGCAGTTTAAAAACTGTAGTGTAAAGCACCCTTCTGGCAAGACAGTGATGGAGTGAATGATGATGAAAGTTTTTCTTTTTCGGGCCACCCTGCCTTGGTGGGAATCGGCCAGTGTGATAATAATAAAAATAATATATGCTTCAATGTAAATACCTGATCTACACATCCCCTACCCACTCTAAAACCTCCTTGCTCATCCGCAATCCTACATTCTGTCTTACTTCTAATTCTTTCAATAATAACCCTACCCTACACTTTTCCTGGTACACTCAGTTAGCTAATTCCTCTATAATTTTTACAATCTCTTTTGTCCCCTTCCCTTTATATAAAGGGACTATACATGCTCTCCGCCAACCCTTAGGTACCTTCCCCTCCTTTATACATTTATTAAACAAAAATACCAACCACTCCAACACTATATCCATCCCCCTGCTTTTAACATTTCTGTCATGATCCCATCAGTTCCAGCTGCTTAACCCCCTTTCATTCTACGTAATGCCTCACGCACCTCCCCCACACTTACATCCTGCTCTTCTTCACTCCTAAAAGATGGTATACTTCCCTGGCCAGTGCATGAAATTAGCGCTTCCCTTTCCTCGTCGACATTTAAAAGTTCCTCAAAGTACTCTCGCCATCTATCCAATACCTCCATCTCCCCATCTACTAACTCTCCTACTTTGGTTTTTAACTGACAAATCCATTTGTTCCCTAGGCTTTCTTAACTTGTTTAACTCGCTCCAAAATTTTTTCTTATTTTCATTAAAATTTCTTGATAGTGCCTCTCCCACTCTATCATCTGCTCTCCTTTTGCACTCTCTCACCACTCTCTTCACTTTTCTTTTACTCTCCATATACTCTACTCTTCTTATAACACTTCTGCTTTGTAAAAACCTCTCATAAGCTATCTTTTTCTCTTTTATCACACCCTTTACTTCATCAATCCACCAATCACTCCTCTTTCCTCCTGCACCCACCCTCCTATAACCACAAACTTCTGCCCCACATTCTACTATTGCATTTTAAAACTATTCCAACCCTCTTAAAACCCCCCACTACTCATACTTGCACCAACCCACCTTTCTGCCAATAGTTGCTTATATCTCACCCGAGCTTCCTCCTCCCTTAGTTTATACACTTTCAACTCCCTCTTACTTGTTGTTGCCATTTTTCTCTTGTCACATCTACCTCTTATTCTAACTGTAGTTACAACTAGATAATGATCCGATATATCAGTTGCCCCTCTACAAACGTGTACATCCTGAAGCCTACCCATCAACCTTTTATCCACAAATACATAATCTAACAAACTACTTTCATTACGTGCTATATCATACCTTGTATATTTGTCCTCTTTTTCATAAAATATGTATTACTTATTACCAAACCTCTTTCTACACATAGCTCAATTAAAGGCTCCCTATTTTCATTTACCCCTGGCACCCCAAATTTACCTACTACTCCGTCCACAACATTTTTACCCACTTTAGCACTGAAATCCCCAACCACAAGTACTCTCACACTTGGTTCAAAACTCCATACGCATTCACTCAACATTTCCCAAAATCTCTCTCTCTCCTCTACACTTCTCTCTTCTCCAGGTGCATATATGCTTACTATAACCCACTTTTCACATCCAACCTTTATTTTACTCCACATTATCCTTGAATTAATACATTTATACTCCCTCTTTTCCTGCCATAGCTTATCCTTCAACATTATTGCTACTCCTCCTTTAGCTCGAACTCTATTTGAAACCCTTGACCTAATCCCATTTATTCCTCTCCGCTGAAACTCTTTCACACCCTTAAGCTTTGTTTCACTTAAATCCAGGGCATCCAGCTTCTTCTCGTTCATAACATCCACAATCATCTCTTTCTTATCATTCACAAAACATCCACGCACATTCAGAGTCAAAAGATAAAAAGTCTAACACAAAGTGGGAGTTGTCACAGTTGCTCTTTGCTGATGACATTGTGCTTTTGGGAGATTCTGAAGACAAGTTGCAGTGGTTGGTGGATGAATTTGGTAGGGTATGTAAAAGAAGAAAATTAAAAGTGAATACAGGAAAGAGTAAGGTTATGAGGATAACAAAAAGATTAGGTGATGAAAGATTGGATATCAGATTGGAGGGAGAGAGTATGGAGGAGGTGAATGTATTCAGATATTTAGGAGTGGATGTGTCAGCAGATGGGTCTATAAAAGATGAGGTGAATCATAGAATTCATAAGGGGAAAAGGAGTCTGTGGAGACAAAGAACTCTGTCTATGGAAGCAAAGGGGGGAATGTATGAGAGTATAGTTACACCAATACTCTTATACGAGTGTGAAACATGGGTGATGAATGTTGGAACGAGGAGAAGGCCAGAGGCAGTGGAGATGTCATGTCTGAGGGCAATGTGTGGTGTGAATATAATGCAGAGAATTCGTAGTTTGGAAGTTAGGAGGAGGTGCGAGATTACCAAAACTATTATCCAGAGGGCTGAGGAGGGGTTGCTGAGGTGGTTCAGACATGTAGAGAGAATGGAATGAAACAGAATGACTGCAAGAGTGTATAAATCTGTAATGGAAGGAAGGCAGGGTAGGGGTCAGCCTAGGAAAGGTTGGAGGGAGAGGATACAGGAGGTTTTGTGTGTCAGGGGCTTGGACTTCCAGGAAGCATGCGTGAGCATATTTGATAGGAGTGAATGGAGACAAAAGGTTTTTAATACCTGACATGCTGTTGGAGTGTGAGCAAAGTAACATTTTTGAAGGGAGTCAGGGAAACTGGCAGGCCAGACTTGAGTCCTGGAGATGGGAAGTAGAGTGTCTGCACTTTGTTAATGTTGCAGTTTTATAACTGTAGTGTAAAGCACCCCTCTGGCAAGACAGTGATGGAGTGAATGATGATGCAAGTTTTTCTTTTTCGAATCACCCTGCCTTGGTGGGAATCGGCCAATGTGTTAATAAAAAAAATTATACCCGGTCCAAGCAAAAGTAGACCACTCATACTTCTTTACTCCTCCTCAAAGTATGTATGCCTTGAGAATATATTATATTCAAAATTTTGAAGCTAAAACATTTCCTGATATATTATCAGTATAGTAGTATAGTAGTAGTATATATAGTAGTATAGTAGTACCAACACTCTTATATGGGTGTGAAGCTTGGGTGGTAAATGCAGCAGCGAGGAGACGGTTGGAGGCAGTGGAGATGTCCTGTTTAAGGGCAATGTGTGGTGTAAATATTATGCAGAAAATTCGGAGTGTGGAAATTAGGAAAAGGTGTGGAGTTAATAAAAGTATTAGTCAGAGGGCAGAAGAGGGGTTGTTGAGGTGGTTTGGTCATTTAGAGAGAATGGATCAAAGTAGAATGACATGGAAAGCATATAAATCTATAGGGGAAGGAAGGCGGGGTAGGGGTCGTCCTCGAAAGGGTTGGAGAGAGGGGGTAAAGGAGGTTTTGTGGGCAAGGGGCTTGGACTTCCAGCAAGCGTGCGTGAGCGTGTTAGATAGGAGTGAATGGAGACGAATGGTACTTGGGACCTGACGATCTGTTGGAGTGTGAGCAGGGTAATATTTAGTGAAGGGATTCAGGGAAACCGGTTATTTTCATATAGTCGGACTTGAGTCCTGGAAATGGGAAGTACAATGCCTGCACTTTAAAGGAGGGGTTTGGGATATTGGCAGTTTGGAGGGATATGTTGTGTATCTTTATATGTGTATGCTTCTAGACTGTTGTATTCTGAGCACCTCTGCAAAAACAGTGATAATGTGCGAGTGTGGTGAAAGTGTTGAATGATGATGAAAGTATTTTCTTTTTGGGGATTTTCTTTCTTTTTTGGGTCACCCTGCCTCGGTGGGAGACGGCCGACTCGTTAGAAGAAAAAAAAAAATAATTAACAATAATACGGGTGTATATACAGCCACTCCTCACTTAACGACAGAGATCTGTTCCTAAGACCACATTGGTAAATGAATTCGTCACTAAGTGAGGAGCATACTATAATGGTAGTGGGTATGTGTCAACCATCTCTGATATTATTTTAATGTCATCTTTACACCATTTATAACATTTCTGGTACAGGAGGGCCCCACTTATACGGCGGGTTAGGTTCCAGGCTACCGCCGTAAAGCGGAAACCGCCGTAAAGTGGAACACCCTTTTTTTCCACTTACAAATGCATACAAACACTAGATAAGAAGTTTACACTAACATATATTATGTTAGCAATAGAACCAGGCATCAAAAAACAATAAAAAAGTACAATACACACACAGTGCACTCATTACTTACCTTAAAATATTTATAGTCTTAATCTAGGGTGAGACAAGCAGTGTTTATTGTAAGAAATCAAGTGTGGTATGTATGGTAGTCAGCCAGGCTACCATACCAGGCCAACCCACCCACACATACTATTCTATGATATTTAAGCATCCCAGAGTGATAAAATGTATATACAGTTCACTCATTACTTACCTTAAAATATAGGGTGAGATGAGTAGTATTTATTGTAAAAAATCAAGTGTGGTATGTATGGTAGTCAGCCAGGCTACCATACCAGAGAGAAAGAATGAGTGCATGAGAGAGGACAGGCGCAGAGTTATGTAAACAAACCAGGCGAAGGTAAGTTTTGTAAACAGTGTACACGTCTGGTTTGAGTACAAGTTACATTGTGTACAGGTTGTCTCTACATTGATACGGTAGAATAAATAAAGAAGAACACTCCCATTCTCATGTAACATCATTTTGAGAAGAAATGATGCTCTGAGTGAAGGCAATGGAAGTAAGTCACTCTGACTTTTTTGGGTTATCCTAGGTTCTCTACACATATGTTATGTATTTATGTTATGTATCGTGTTTATTATATATATTTTGAAAAAAATATCACGGATGGATTAATGAAAATGTGTATATTAACGTAATATACAACATTTAATGATACACCGAGCTCAGACAGCGTAAACAAACAAACAAACTGAACAGGTTGTGGACGATCACTCGGTCAGGCGAAATAGACGGTATTAATACGTGTCCAGTTTTAGTTCATTCATGTACATTTGTAAGAGTTTGTGAAACTTTTACCTTATAATATTTTTATTATTATTATAATAATTAAATCACGAAACAAATACTCTTACACTGTGTACAAGTTAGTACAGAATTATAGCTATAAAGTGAAGGCATACGAAAGGAATATTTTTCTACAGTTATCCCTAGTAACAGGTGACGGGCTAGAGAAAACATAATTCTTCCGACACTTCTACAAACCGTTTGGTAAACATCTCTTATATATTTGTATAAATTTTTATACTGTGGGTGCATGTATCATGTTTGTGTGTTACATAATGTGTTTCTTATATAATTTTGAAAAAAATATCATAGATAGATTAAGGGAAATGTCTATATTAACGTAATATGCGACATTAATGCGCCCAAGAGATTATTATTATTACTATTATTATTATTATTATTATTATTATTGCTGCATCAAGAGTAGAGAGACTCTTAGTGATTTTAATGTGTACCTACATGCCAGCACAGTGTGTAAGTTCATTTAGGTACAGGTGTACACAAGTTTAATTATCAAGTACAATACATATAAAATATACAATAACTTTAAAACACTTGAAATTTTGGAAAGTTTCCAGACATAATAAGGAGATGTGCTCAGGGAGAATGTAAACAAACTCGGTGGGCCGCTGTGACCGTATTAGAAAGACAGGTGGAGGGAGCCGTATAGCGAGTTTTGGTCATAATTTGAAATGTCCGTATTAGCGGAACGCCGTAAAGCGAAACGCCGTAAAGCGGGGCCCTGCTGTATATTTTTAAATGTTTATACAGTAGTGTACTGTATACTGTAATAAACAGAATAAAAGAAATCAGCTCTTATATACACCTACCATTCGACTTACGACCGAGTTCGGTTCCGAGAAACCGGTCGTAAGTCGAACTTTACTACTGAATATCAACAAAACATTTTTGTAATGACTTTATTTTATTGTTTTATTTTGGTATTTCATGTTTTACTTTACTTTTTATGCTGGTAGTACTGTATTTTATACTGTAAGGTTTAGGATAAACACTGTGTACAACACAAACAGTTGTTTATTTCCCAGAAATTTGGCATAAAAAACACGGTCGTAAGTCGAGTGGTCGTAAGTCGAGCAGGTCGTAAGTCGGATGGTAGGTGTACATTATTTAGGTATTCATACTTGTCAGAGAGCGTGTCATAAGTCCAAGTTGTCGGTAAACGAGTACATCGCTAAGTGAGGAGAGGCTGTAATGTATATTCTAACCTGCTGGTATTGGTTGTGGTTGAAGATTTTTGTCTTTGATAGTTTGTAGGACATCTCCCTTTAACAGTTTACCATGGGGGCCTCCAGCAGGAACTTGATCAACTGTAAGTCCATATTTCTCTAGTAGAAGACGAACTGAAGGACCAAAGTTCCTGTACAAAAAACAGATCACATCTTGACAATAACTGAAAGGTAATGGGCTTTACACAACACCCTAAAAAAGTTTCATATTGCTGTATATAAATTAAATAAGGTAGGTAGTAGGTTGGTAGACAGCAACCACCCAGGGAGGTACTACTGTCCTGTCAAATGAGTGTAACATGGAAGCCAGTAATTGTTTTACAAGATGGTAGGAGTCCCGATGTCTTTGTTCTGTCTCATAAACATGCAAGATTTCAGGTACCTCTTGCTACATCTACGTACACCTAGTTTACACTACACCTGCATGCAGAAGCATACATATAAACACACCCCTCTCGGGTTTTTTTATTGGGTAATAACAAGCATGTATACACCTGGAGGAGAGAGGAGTGTAGAGGAGAGAGATTTTGGGACATATTAAGCAAGTGTGTAGGAACTTTTGAACCAAGTGAGAGAGTAATTGTGGTAGGGGACCTATATGCTGAAGTAGGAGAAACATTTAGAAAGGGTGTGGTAGTTAAGTTTTGGGTGCCAGATGTAAATGATAATGGGGGGCCCTTTGATTGAGCTTCGTATAGAAAGAGGTTTGGTTATAGGTAATACATATTTTAAGAAAAAGAAGACAGTAGTTTGTGTGGACTACGTATTGGTAGATAAAAGACTGTTGAGTAGACTTCAGGATGTACATGTCTGTAGAGGGGCCACAGATATATCAGATCACTTTTTAGTTGTAGCTACAGTGAGAGTAAAAGGTAGATGGGATACAAGGAAAGTAGAAGCAGCAAGTAAGAGAGGGGTGAAGGTTTATAAACTAGAGGAGGAGGCAGTTAGGGTAAGATATAAACAACTATTGGAGGATAGATGGGCTAGTGAGAGTATAGGCAATGGGGTCGAAGATGTATGGGGTAGGTTTAAAAATGTAGTGTTAGTGTTCAGCAGAAGTTTGTGGTTACAGGAAAATGGGTGCTGGAGGGAAGAAGAGCGAATGATGGAATGATAATGTAAAGAGAGTAGTAAGGGAGAAAAAGTTAGCATATGAGAAGATTCTACAAAGTAGAAGTGATGCAAGGAGGGAAGAGTATATGGAGAGAAAAAGAGAGGTTAAAAGAGTGGTGAGGCAATGTAAAAAGAGAGCAAATGAGAGAGTGGGTGAGATGTTATCAACAAATTTTGTTGAAAATAAGAAAAAAATTTGGAGTGAGATAAATAAGTTGAGGAAGCCCAAGGAATAAATGAATTCGACAGTTAAAAACAGGAGAGGAGAGTTATTAAATGGAGAGTTAGAGGTATTGGGAAGATGGAGGGAATATTTTGAGGAATTGTAAATGTTGACGAAGATAAGGAAGCTGTGATATCGTGTATAGGGCAAGGAGGAATAGCATCTTGTAGGAGTGAGGAAGAGCCAGTTGCGAATGTGGGGAAAGTTCATGAGGCAGCGCATAGAATGAAAGGTGGTAAGGCAGCTGGGATTGATGGGATAAAGATAGAAATGTTAAAAGCAAGTGGGGATATAGTTTTGGAGTGGTTTTTGCTTTTATTTAAAAAAATGTATGGAAGAGGGTAAGGCACATAGGGATTGGCAGAGAGCATGCATAGTTTCACTGTATAAAGGAAAAGGGGACAAAAGAAAGTGCAAAAATGACAGGGGGAATGTCTGTTGAGTATACCTGGTAAAGTGTATGGTAGAGTTATTATTGAAAGAATTAAGAGTAAGATGGAGAGTAAGATAGCAGATGAACAAGGAGGCTTTAGGAAGGGTAGGGGGTGTGTAGGCCAAGTGTTTACAGTGAAACATATAGGTGAACAGTATTTAGATAAGGCTAAAGAGGTTTTTGTGGCATTTATGGATTTGGAAAAGGCATATGACTGGGTGGATAGGGAGGCAATGTGGCAGATGTTGCAAATGTATGGAACAGAGGTAGGTTACTGAAAGCAGAGAATAGTTTTTACAAGGATAGTGAGGCTCAGGTTCGAGTATATAGGAGAGAGGGAAATTATTTCCCAGTAAAAGTAGGCCTTAGACAAGGATGTGTGATGTCACCATGGGTGTTCAATTTATTTATAGATGGGGTTGTAAGAGAAGTGAATGAGGGGGTCTTGGCAAGAGGTATGGGGTTAAAAGAGTGAGGAGATGTCACAGTTGCTCTTTGATGATGACACTGCTTTTGGGAGATTCTGAAGAGAAGTTACAGAGGTTGGTGGATGAGTTTGGTAGGGGTATGTAAAAGAAGAAAATTAAAAGTGAATATTGGAAAGAATAAAGTGATGAGGATAACAAAAAGATTAGGTGACAAAAGATTGGATATCAGATTGGAGGGAGAGAGTATGAAGGAAGCGAATGTATTCAGATATTTAGGAGTGGACATGTCAGCAGATGGGTCTATGAAGGATGAGGTAAATCATAGAATTGATGAGGGAAAAAAAGGTGAGTGGTGCACTTAGGAGGCTGTGCAGACAAGAACTTTGTCCATGGAAGCAAAGAAGGAAATGTATGAAAGTACAGTTATACCAGTGCTCTTATGTGGGTGTAAAGCATGGGTGGTGAATGTTGCAACAAGAAGGCTGGAGGCGGTGGAGATGTCATGTCTGAGGGCAATGTGAGGCGTGAATATAATGCAGAGAATTCGTAGTTTGGAAATTAGGAGGAGGTGTGGGATTACCAAAACCATTATCCAGAGGGCTGAGGAGGGGTTGTTGAGGTGGTTCGAACATACAGAGCGAATGGAATGAAACAGAATGACTCTGAGAGTGAATAAATCTGTAATGGAGGGAAGGCAGGGTAGGGGTCAGCCTAGGAAAGGTTGGAGGGAGGGGGATAAAGGAGGTTTTGTGTGCGAGGGGCTTGGACTTCCAGCAAGCATATGTGAGCGTGTTTGATAGGTGTGAATGGAGACAAATGGTTTTTAGGACTTGACTTGCTGTTGGAGTGTGAGAAAAGTAACATTTATGAAGGGATTCAGGGAAACCGGCAGGCCAAACTTGAGTTCTGGAGATGGGAAGTACAGTGTCTGCACTCTGAAGGAGGGGTGTTAATGTTGCAGTTTTATAACTGTAGTGTAAAAGTGCCTCTGGCAAGACAGTGATGCAGTGAATGATTATGAAAGTTTTTCTTTTTTGTGCCAACCCGCCTTGGTGGGAGATGGCCGATGTGTTAATAAAAATAAAATACATAATTCTTGTTCTCGTTTATTTCCTCTTATCTCCATCGGAAAGCAGAACAGAATTCTTCCTCCTTAACCCTTTCAGCTCCAGACACCCAATCTGAATCTTGTCCACAGGGTCCAAGAATTTTCCAAAAGAATTTTTTATTTTTTCTTATGAAATGGTAGAAAATCTTTTACTGAAGGTAATAAAACAAAAAGTACGAAATTTGAGGAAAAATTGACGAAATTACGCTCTCACGAATTCTGCTGCATCAGTGATATTTACGCATCGGCGATTTTGCCCACTTCGACTCCCAATTTAGGCCAATTACATTATTCCAGTTGCCAAATTCTTAGCTATTTTGCTAATATTACTTCTATTTTATCGACTGAGCACAAGATATCACCCAGTCAACTGTTTCAACTACCCAATGAAGTGATCGGAAATTGGTAATTTAGCCAATTTCACACAAATTTCAAAATCTTCCTATTTCAAAATAGGGTCCAGAATAAACAAGAAGGCATTCCTGGCACTAAAATAACATTTCCTCTGTTTATCAGTTACATTTCCAGGCTTTACAAATGAATTTCATTTTGAATTTTTATTCACATAATGAATTTTTATTCATACCAAAAAAACTAAGAATTACTGTTATGCAAAATTGTAATAAAAGTATAAATAATATCAGCACATTCATGAATGCACATCAGGCCCACCAGCTGACCTGTATTGGACATGTGATGTCATTTGCTTACTCTTGAACATCGACAAAAATTTAACATTTCCGCTACTTTGAGCTCAGTTTCAAGCCATTTTCAGTACTATAACCAATGAAAATCATCTCTATTTCTATAATATATCTTCCATTCTATCAAATGAGACCAAGAAACCGTGAATGCAACTGTAAAACAAATGCAGAAAAACACTGCAAAGTTGCTGTTTTAATCCAAAAATACAGTCACACTTTTTTTTCTCATTATGCACTGCGTGCTGCAGGATTTGTTTTATGTGGTGCACACTTACCACATAGATATATTCTCTCATATTTAGGCCCAAATTTACCGCTCACAGCTTATCTGAGTAAGCCGAGCTCATGGTGTAGAACTACGGCTTCGACCCAGGTTTCAAAACCATAGAACTATGGGACAGACCCTCAAAGGGTTAAACCATGCATGTTGTAAGAAGTGACTAACACATCAGGAGCAAGGGTCTAGTAACCCCTTTTCCTGTATACATTACTGAAGTTAAAAAGAGAAACTTTCATTTTTCTTTTCTGGCCACCCTGCTTCAGTGGGATACAGCTGGTTTGTTGGAAGAAGAAGAAATTAAATAAAGAATATATATAACTTACTTATAGGTAGTAGGTTGGTAGACAGCAACCGCCCAGGGAGGTACTACCGTCCTGCCAAGTGAGTGTAATACGAAAGCCTGTAATTGTTTTACATGATGGTAGGATTGCTGGTGTCCTTTTTTCGGTTTCATAAACATGCAAGATTTTAGGTACTTCTTGCTACTTCTACTTTCACTTAGGTCACACTACACATACATGTACAAGCATATATATACACACCCCTTCGGGTTTTCTTCTATTTTCTTTTTAGTTCTTGTTCTTGTTTATTTCCTCTTACCTCCATGGGGAAGTGGAACAGAATTCTTCCTCCGTAAGCCATGCGTGTTGTAAGAGGCGACTAAAATGCCGGGAGCAAGGGGCTAGTGGCCCCTTCTCCTGTATATATTACTAAATTTGAAAGGAGAAACTTTCGTTTTTCCTTTCGTCTCGGTGGGATACGGCCGGTGTTGAAAGAAGACACATCCCTCTGGGTTTTCTTCTATTTTCTTTCTAGTTCTTGTTCTTGTCTATTTCCTCTTATCTCCATGGGGAAGTGGAACAGAATTCTTCCTCCGTAAGCCATACGTGTCGTAAGAAGCGACTAAAATGCTGGGAGCAAGGGGCTAGTAACCCCTTCTCCTGTATATATTACTAAATTTGAAAGGAGAAACTTTCGTTTTTCCTTTTGGGCCACCCTACCTCAGTGGGATATGGCTGGTACATTGAAAGAAAGAAAGAAGAAAGAATATAACCTACTGCCAACGATCCATAAATCACTTGGAATAGACCCATGATTCACTCACACTAACCCCTGCACCCTGACCATAGATAGGCTCAAGTCCATGACAACCCTTTAACCCTTAAACCGTCCAAATGTAGATCTACGTTCACGTGCATAGCGCTCCGAACGTAGATCTAGTTTTTTTTTTTTACGTGCTTTCAAATGGAGATAATAAATGTCGGAGAGCTATGCACGTAAACGTAGATCTACATTTGGATAGTTTAAGGGTTAAAAGTAGAACCACTCTCCCATACCACAACAATGGCCTTGCTGAAGGGGCAGAGGAACAATTCATAATGGTAATAGGTGCCACTAATTCCACCCTGGTGCATGTTAAGAATAATGGAGTGCTACTACTGGAAATGAAAAAGTAAATTTAAATCACAGAATATCGAAAAAGTGAGCTGTAATTGTGGAACTTATGAGAGTTTACTGTACTGTATTTTAGAAGGCTGTAATATTTTATGTTTATTTAAAGAAGTAAGTTACGATAAATATTAATGAAAAATAAAGATTAGTATAAAATAATAACTTATTCCCAGGGATTTTAAAAATTATAGTGCATTATACTGCAATATTAATGAACAAGTTTTATAAAGTAAAAAAGGGTTAAAAGAAAAAGGATGAAAAGTCTTTTATCAAGTGACAATTACTTGTCAGCTTTCTTCAACAGGGTAAATGATGTCTTCATCCATCTTTACCTTAAACCTGGAGTAATTTGAGAGCAAAAAAGAATCAAAGTTCATACAGTACTTAAGAAATCGTAATGACACGATTGCAAATAAACCATACCCCCGGCCGGGATTGAACCCGCGGTCATAGAGTCTCAAAACTCCAGCCCGTCGCGTTAGCCACTAGTGGCTAACGCGACGGGCTGGAGTTTTGAGACTCTATGACCGCGGGTTCAATCCCGGCCGGGGGTATGGTTCATACAGTACTAATAGTAAACATTAATTTTGAAGTTGCAAAATATGCCAATAATACTTAAAAAATGGTAATGATTAGTTTTTATATAGCAGTTAACAGTATCTGGATGAAAGGCTCCCAAAAAGTAAGTGGTATGCAGTAATTAATAAACTTTTCTCTCACTCATCCGCACCCATGGCCAGCAGCAACAGAAGCAGGTGTACGAGTAACTGTCACAGGCTGAGCACCAGAAGATGGTATAATCTCTTCCTGAAGAGGCATTTCAACAGTTTTCCAATCCTCTCCTTCTGCTACCATAACTGCAATCAAGGTGCCTACCTTGACATCTTTTGTATCTTCTGCAACCTGGTAAAACAGGAAAATACATTATGCTATACATGCACATTCATCCTACATGACACAGTCTCAATAATTCCAATTCAGCCAATAATACTTTATTTCCTGGTAAAAGTAGCAAAGGCTGGTTGATGAGTTTGGAAGGGTATGTAAAAGAAGGAAGTTAAAAGTGAATATAGGAAAGAGTAAGGTGATGAGGATAATAAAAAATTAGGTAATGGAAGATTGGATATCAGATTGGAGGGAGAGAGTATGGAAGAGGTGAATGTGTTCAGGAATTTGGGAGTGGACGTGTCAACAGATGGGTCTATGAATGATGAGGTGAATCACAGAAGTGATGAGGGGAAAAAGGTGAGTGGTGCACTGAGGAGTCTGTGGAGACAAAGAACTTTATCCACAAAAGCAAAAAAGGGAATGTGTGAGAGTATAGTTATACCAACGCTCTTGTATGGGTGTGAGGCATGGGCTGTGAACGTTGCAACAAGAAGGCTAGAGGGCACTGTGTGGTGTGAATATAATGCAGAAAATCCGTAGTTTGGAGATTAGGAGGTGTGGGATTACCAAAACTATTATCCAGAGGGCTGAGGTGGGGTTACTGAGATGGTTTGGACATGTAGAGAAGCTGGAATGAAATAAAATGACTTCGAGAGTATACAAATCTGTAGTCGAGGGAAGACAGGGTAGGGGTTGGCCTAGGAAAGACTGGAGGGAGGGGGTAAAGGAGGCTTTGTATGCAAGGGGCTTGAACTTCCAGCAAGCATGTGTGAGTGTGTTAGACAGGAGCGAATGGAGATAGATGGTTTTTAGGACTTTATGTGCTGTTGGAGTGTAAGCAAGGTAACATTTATGAAGGGATTCAGGGAAACCGGCAAGCCGGACTTGAGTCCTGAAGATGAGAAGTACAGTATCTGCACTCTGAAGGAGGGGTGCTAATGTTGCAGTTTTATAACTGTAGTGCAGACATGCCTCTGGCAAGATAGTGATGGAGCGAATGATGATGAAAGTTTTCTTTTTCGGGCCACCCTGCCTTGTTAATAACACCCTGATGTGTTAATAACAACAAAAAAAACTTCTTCTTTCTTTCAACACACCAGCCGTATCCCACCGAGGCGGGGTGGCTCAAAAGGAAAAACGAAAGTTTCTCCTTTTACATTTAGTAATATACACAGGAGAAGGGGTTACTAGCCCCTTGCTCCAGGCATTTTAGTCGCCTCTTATGACACGCATGACTTACAGAGGAAGAATTCTGTTTCACTTCCCCGTGGAGGTAAGAGGAAATAAACAAGAACAAGAACTAGTAAGAAAAACAGAAGAAAACCCAGAAGGGTGTATATATATATGTTTGTACATGCATGTGTAGTGTGACCTAAGTGTAAGTAGAAGTAGCAAGACGTACCTGAAACCTTGCATGTTCAAGAGACAGAAAAATGGACACCAGCAATCCTACCATCATGTAAAACAATTACAGGCTTTCGTTTTACACTCACTTGGCAGGACGGTAGTACCTCCCTGGGTGGTTGCTGTCTGCCAACCTACTACCTAGAAAAAACAATACTATAAACATACAGTGGACCCCCGCATAACGATTACCTCCGAATGTGACCAATTATGTAAGTGTATTTATGTAAGTGCGTTTGTACGTGTATGTTTGGGGGTCTGAAATGGACTAATCTACTTTACAATATTTCTTATGGGAACAAATTTGGTCAGTACTGGCACCTGAACATACTTCTGGAGTGAAAAAATATCGTTAACCGGGGGTCCACTGTATATTAAATTCTGCCAAAACATATACAATAAAAACATACATCACACTCTTTGTCAATCTTTTGTGGGCATATACAGTAATTTTTTATAAAATCCATTGATAAATGAACTCTGTTATTATACAGCCAAGCACCTAAATATGTACTAACAGAATTCAATCATTTCTATATAAATTTAATTTTTTTCAACACACCAGCTGTATCCTACCGAGGTAGGGTGACCTGAAGAGAAAAATGAAAGTTTTTCTTTTAAAGGAGAAGGGGTTACTAGCCCCTTGCTCCCAGCATTTCAGTCACCTCTTATGACATGCATGACTGATGGAGGAAGAATTCTTTTCCACTTCCACATAGACAATATTGTAAGCATAAAGAGTAGGCTCACTGACACTTCACTCTCATGATGATTACTAGCAAGTAATATATTCTGAAAGGCTATGATGACTATTTTGTAATGTTTGTCTTTGAATCACCAATTACAAAAAAATAAGAAAAAATTATTCACAGGAGATATGTTCCTAAGAGGAACAGGGAATACTAAATTTGTAAAAAACACTTGTTTTACAAGGTTATGGGGAAAAATAAGTCCAAAAATATTTGGCCCAAATACCTATTTAAAGTTATATCTTATGCAACAGGCATTACTACAATGTATGATACACCACTTCATTTATTTTAACATGGTGCATGAAAGGCACTAAGCCTGAGAGGATCACTCAACCCTGCTTGGCAGATCAGACTGCTGGAAAAGAGCAACAAGTACAGCCTCTCCTCACTTAACGGCGGAGTTCCATTCCTAATGCCGTGTCGCTAAACGAGGAGCATACTATAATGGTAGTGGGTTTATGTCAACCATCTTTGATATAGCTTTAATGTCACCCTTGCACCATTTATAACACTTTTAGTATACAGTAGGGCCCCACTTATATGGCAAGTTAGGGTCCAGGCTACTGCCATAAGGTGGAAATCACTGTAAAGTGGAACACCCTTTTTTCCACTTATAAATGCATAAGGATAACCTACGGTCAAAGAGGAGGCCTAGAAACCTGACTGTATCACATTCAGGGATACGGGTGCCATAGAGGTATAAAGGATGATCGGAGATGACAGAGTGTCTAGTGAAAGTAATTTGGTGAGTTTTGGTACTGGAAATTTAAACCCATGTGTGGTGGCCCAATTGGAAACACGGTCGACCGCATGCTGGAGAGAAACTGTAATGAGGTGACAGTCAGCGCCTGCACAGGCAATAGCGAAGTCATCAACATAGAGTGATGACCAAATATTGGATGGAAGACTAGAGGCCAAATCATTATAGCAAGGAGAAAAATTGTGCTCAGAACACATCCCTGGGGGACACCTTCAGCTTGGATAAAGTCCGGGGAGAGCACATTATTAACCCGAACACAGAAATGTCTGTCAGTTAAAAAGTTCTTAAGGAAGGATGGTAGATTGCCTCAAAGGCCCAAGGAGTGGGCTTGGGCCAAAATATTATACCTCCAAGTTGTGTCATATGCCTTCTCAAGGTCAAAAAATATGGCAATAACTGAGTGGTTATTCACAAAGGCATTACGAACATACGTATCCAAGCGTAGTAAGGGGTCAATGGTAGAACGGCCCTTACGAAAGCCATATTGACGAGTGGAGAGACTGTTGTGTGTCTCTAAATACCACACTAAACGTCTATTTACCAGGCGTTCCATCACTTTGCAAACTGCACTGGTAAGAGCAATGGGACAATAGTGGGAGGCTTCATGTCCCGTTGTACCCGGTTTGCGGAAAGGGAGAACAATGGCAGATTTCCACAGCTGTGGAAGAACTCCTTGTGACCAAATAAGATTGAAAAGGCGTAATAGGACTGCAAGGGCTGACTGACGTAAATGTTGTAGCATATGAATATGAATGGCGTCGGGCCCAGCTGCCGATGATCGGCAAGCTGAAAATGTTGCCTCCAGTTCCTGAAGTGTAAAAGGCACATTATACTGCTCTTCTCTGAGAAAAGAAAAGTCCAAGGGTGCTAACTCTCTGGCAGACTTTGAGGAAAGAAACGAGGGGCATAGATGGAGCCCCTGAGAAATATGGACTGGATGATTGCCAATTTCATTGGCAACATCTAGTGGGTTTGCTATATCAACACCGGCAACCCGCAGAACAGGAGCCGGGTCAGGAGAATATTTACCACTCAGTTTTCGTACTTTTTTCCAGACTGCACTCGTAGAGGAAGCAGAGGTGATGGTGGAGACATAATCTCGCCAGCAAGTGCGTTTAGTGTCATGGATGACAAGGCGAGCGATCGCACGCTTCTGCTTAAAATCAAGAAGTCTCTCTGTGGTTCTATTGTACCGGTACCTGCCCCACGCAGCGTGTTTCAAACGTACTGCACAAGCACAAGCAGGAGACCACCAAGGCATGCATTTCTGAGAATGCCTGCCCGAAGTTTGGGGTATAGAATGAGAAGCTGCGGTTAAAACGGAGGACGAGAAGAGGTGTAAAAGCTCATCAATGGAGGACGAAGAAGGAACCTCACTAAAAACAATTAATTGTGAGTAAAGGTTCCAATTTGCCTGATAAAATTGCCAATGTGGGTTACGAAAAGGTGGTGAATATGAAGGGGAAGTAAGAAGGATTGGGAAATGATCGCTGTCATGTAAATCCGGGAGAACAGACCAGGTGAAGTCTAATGCGGCGGAGGAAGAGCAGACTGAGAGATCGATGCAAGAGAGAGTATGAGTCCGAGGATCAAAATGGGTGTGAGTACCTGTATTTAAAACATGGAGGGGGTGGGTAGCAAGAAAAGCCTCTAACCGAATGCCACGGAAATCACAGTGAGACCCCCCCCCCCAGAGGAAATGATGGGCATTAAAATCGCCAAGTAACAGAAGTGGTGGCGGTAATGACGAAACAAGAAAGGCAATATCCGGGATAGATAATGCCCGAAAAGGAGAGAGATACAAAGAACAGAGTGTATACCACCTATGCAAGTGGATACGGGCTGCTGTGTAATGCAGGGAAGTACGAACAAATAGCTAATGGTACGGAATATCAGTGTGTAGAAGAAGGGCACTTTCATTAAAGGTCCCATCAGGAAAAGGATCTGAAGAATACAATAAATTATAGCCTGAGATGGGATAGATAACGGAAGTGTAATTTTGGTTCCTGTAAGCAAACACCAACAGGGGAAAACTGGGAGAGCAACATCTGAAGCTCACCCCAATTACCCCTGAGGCCGCGAATATTCGACTGTAAATA